GTACCGACGGAGTAGAGCACTGCAGCCGCCGTGCCGAGTCCACTGCAGCCGCCGTATCGAGGGAGTAGTGCACTGCAGCCGCCGTACCGTGGGAGTACTGCGCCGCAGCCGCCGTACCGTGGGAGTACTTTACAGCCGCCGTGCCGAGGGAATGGTACACTGCAGACGCTGTACAGAGGGAGTACCCTGCAGCCGCCGTGCCGAGTTCACTGCAGCCCGCAGCCGCCGTACCGGATACACTGCAGCCGCCGTACCGTGGGAGTATACGCTGCATTGCAGCCGTACCGAGGGAGTACCTTGCAGCCGCCGTGCAGAGTACACTGCAGCCGCCGTACCGTGGAAGTACACTGCAGCCGCCGCACAAAGGGGGTACGCTGCAACTGTTGCACGAGGAAATGGTACACTGCAGCCGCTGTACAGAGGAAGTACAAACCGACTGCAGCCGCCGTACAGACAGAGGGAGTACGCTGCAGCCGCCGTACAGAGGGAGAACGCTGCAGCCGCCGTACAGAGGGAGAACGCTGCAGCCGCCGTACAGAGGGAGTATAGTGACCTGTGCCATCACCGGTCAACCCCAGAGCGAGAGAATCATGCCAATACCCCCTCACCCCATACCATGTTCCTGTGCCATTAGATGATGTGGAATGGGCAGTGCTGGTGAGGACCAATCCGCTTAGGATGAAATCGAAAAGCTTTGTCTTCTTCTTTTACCAAAAACTGGCGAGTAATGACATCACACAACTGGTCACAACTTAAATCGTTACGAAACCAGGCAGAGTATTTTTTTTACATTTGATTGAGAAAGTACAGAAAGATTCACGCCAGTCGCGAGACTAGCTGTCGAATTCTCGTGAATTATGTGCACGGTGTCAAGAGCGCCCGCTACCCACCGCAAATGGCCGGGGCATGGTGCCCGTTACCCCCTTCCGTGGTTCACCGCTGGCTGTTGGGAACGAAGTTGCGTATTTATTGCCGTAGGCAAAGTATGATCTCTTTTATCCTAATTTTGACCACCGCCTGACTGACGCCTTTTGCCCAGTGTTCGCCATGGGCCGGGCCAGCTCAATGGGCCATGGGCTGGGCTTGGCTGGGCTGGGCCCTCAGATATGAAGGATCGATGGGATGTGGATGGGCTGGGCCAAGAACTGTAAAGTGAACTCGGGGCTTCGCGACTGAGACAAAAATCGTAACTACATAGCTTATTACTATGTACGATTGAAAAAACGAGCTAATAAAGCACGCATGCAATGTGCATTGTGCAATATGCATGCTGCTCGCAAAAGATTGTTTCTTTGCTACCGTTGGGTGACATGCTGCCTGTGTGATGTCCATAATTTTTAATCCATTCATTTTTGACGGGCTGGGCCGAGCTGGGCTTTGACGCTTTTACCATGAATAGGTTCGGGCTGGGCCGGGCTGTGAACCCGTGGGCCTGGGCTGGACTGAGATTTTGCGGCCCGTGGCGAACACTGCTTTTGCCTAGTTAAAGCGCAGTTGCGCAATTACTGTTAACTCGCACGCCTAGGGAGGGGGAGAGGAAGGGGGGGGGCGAAACGGCCGCCCCTCATTTTTCCTGTCGATATCTCTTTGAATATTACATATACCGTCGCCTATAACTTCCAGGACGCCTACGGCATCAATTTTACACTTCGTGCCAACTTTTTCCAGAGGCTGTGGAAGGTTGGCCACATATGACGTCCGGATGACGTCATGTTTTTGCGAGAAAAGTTGTCACGCCTACAGTTTTAAACATTTGATCAGTTTTAAATGTCTAAACCAAAAAGGGCTAAGAATTAACAGGGCTAAAAAAACACCGTTATCCTGGATTTTTGAAATTATAATTTCGACTCCTAAATATAATTTTTGTTTATATATTACCTTAAAAATACCTAACGTTTTCTCAAATTTTGAATAATCCCGAGTATATGTTGTTAAACCATAAGTTGTCCATTGACATACTAAATTTAAGATCGATATCTCCATTTTTGGCAAAGTAATGGTTGAAAAAATCTACTCAAAATTGATGTCACATTTTGAAGCCTTATGTAAGCTGTTTTAGGCCACTATGCGTAAAACTAAGGCCGGCATCCGATTCTGTGCGTCGAGCTGCATTGCATCGAATCGATACCGTTAGGTGGGGTTATTTGAGACAGTTCAAGTTGGGCTCTTGGAGACAGTATACTGTAATGCTTTGGTAAAATCACTATAAAATTAAAACCGTTTCTTGTTGTTTTTTTTGTCATTGTTGCTCCGGTTGGTGTGAAATCAAACGGTGAATTAGTTGAGCAAAAATGACAAAAATACCAAATGGTTTATTTTATAGCGATTTTACTAAACCACTGCCTACCTACGTCTCAAATAGCCCCACTGTCTCAAACGGTACCTTTTGTTAAAAAAAAAAACAAGTTCAAAATTTAACCTTTTTCCGACCTTGACCTCACCCTCACCAAAACGTTACCTAAACTGGCCCCAATGTTCACCCAACTAACATGATTGAATTCGAATTATGAAATTGACCCTAAAGCATGTTTTGCACGACCCCAGTATAGTTGGGTCTAGTGATGTCAAGTGCAGACATTTGTTAAACCGATACCAAACCAATTATCCTACCAGTACCTATCATTAGAATATACCATAAGCGAAACTAATTTCGGATTTATAGAGAAATGACAAGCTTCTATATAATTCTGAGCATCCAATTTATTAGCGAAGATTCATAAGACCGACACAATACCTACCAAAAACCTTAGGAATGAAATACCAAATACCAATTTGGTATCGGTTTGGTATCGGTCTACCAAAAAGTTGGTATCCGATAGAATTCTCATGAGTTCATATTGTTACCCTTGTGACCTGACCTCTGTGACCTGGCCTGGTATCAACGACCTCATTTATCAAAATATGTGCCTATTAGAGAAACATACTGTAACGATGATATTCGATGATATGCATTTTATTCGATGTTGTAGTACATTTCTTAGAAGGCCTTTGTTAGAAAAATGCGACCTACATGTGAAAATGTATGGCCTGATCTGTGACGTCGTCGGTTGCACCTATACATCAATGAAATTGGGCTACATGATAGTTCTCCGGTGGGGCTATCGAATGCCGCTTAAATTTTGAAAATCGGTCGATAACTCTCCGAGATGTTAGGGTGACGACACACCCCTCCCCCTTTACGGGTGGCAGGGTTCGAGAATAGCCCTACGGGGTGCGGGTTAAGGCAAATAATAATTCATCGTTCGGTGTCTCAATGCGCAACGCGGGCCAAGGCGGTAGGGGTTTATTGTCTTGTTAGTAACGCACAGGTGACCGGCCTACTTCTCCACTAGTGACAATCCTAGCTCTCCCGACACTGACTGGACTTCCCTGTTTCTATCCCGGCGGTGACTGACATGCTTGTTTATCCCGACATTGACCTGATGACCGGCCTGCCTCTTCCGACAGTCACTAGCCTACCTCTCCTGACAGACTCTCTCCCGATAGTGACTACCCTACCTCTCCTGACAAGTGACTGCCATATCTCTCCTGACAGTGACTACCTTGCCTCTCCCGAAAGTGACTACCCAAGCTCTACGGTTGGTAACTACATAGTACTTACCAGTTACCACCCACAGTGATGCAAATGGGGTTCACGAGTGGCCATAAATACGAAAAAGGCCCAAAATTCAGGTTCACTTAATCAAATAAATCGTAATATGGTCAGTCAGGCAAATGTTTGAGGTGTCTGAAAAAGTATGATTTTAATGTTTTTGTCAAAACCGGCCTCGTGTAGGATTGTCAGAAGTCGAGACATTTTCGATGTCGTAAAATGACTGTCAGGTACTTGAAATTCAAGTGCCGCTAGCGTGCGTTCATGTCATACAAACTGCAAAAATTATACATGAAAATGATCCCCGAAACCTGCTGCTTCTAATGCCACGTCATAAAAAGCCGTATCTATTTTGGTTTGGCGGTGAGCTAACTATTTGTAATCATGTTGCAACCGCAGTTTTTAATCAAAAATATTTGTTTTCAATTCACCTACAGCACTTCACACAGTGTGTGCCCGTTAGTGCACCATATCATAGCATTCCTTAATCATTTCTTAGTCGCATAGTGAAAGAATTAAGGCGCTAGCACAGGGCTGACCGGCGCTACAGAAGTTTTCGTCCGGCACGGTCGGGTGCCGCGGCGCAGCGGGCGGCCCGGGCGGCCGCGCCGCCGCGCCGTCCGGACGCCGCGCGACGGCACACACCCGCCCACTGCGCGCCCACTGCGGCACCCGACCGCCCGGACCAAAACCTCTGTAGCGCCGGTCAGCCCTGTGCTAGCGCCTTAATTCTTTCACGATGCGACTCAGAAATGATTAGGGAAGGCTATGGTATGGTGGACTAACGGGCACACACTGTGTTAAGTGCTGTAGGTGAAACGAAAGCATTTTTTTCTTAGTAAAAAACTGCGATTGCAACATGATGACAAATAGTCAGATTACCGCCAAAGCGAATGAGATACGGCTTTTTGTGACCCGGCATTAGAAGCAGAAGGCTTTGGGGATCATTCCCATGCATAATTTTTTCAATTTGTACGAAATGAACGCAAACCAGCGGCGTTTGAACTTGCGAGTGTCTGACCGTCATTTTACGACCTAGAAAATATCACGACTTCTGACGATTATACACGAGGCCGGTTTTGACAAAAACATGAAAACCATGTGATTTCAGATGCCCCAAACATTTGTCTACTCGGCCATATCGCAATTAACTCGATTTGGTAAACTTGACTTTTGGGTATTTATGGCCACTCGTGAACCCCATTTGCATCACTGTGCCACCCTACCTCTCCCGACAGATTGACCTACCTCCCCCGACAGTAACAACTACCCTACCTCGCCCGTCAGTACCTACCCTGCCTCTCGGCGGTGCGCTGGTGACCGGTCCGCCTCTCCGCGGTGCGCTGGTGACCGGGCCGCCTCTCCCGCAGTGCGCTGGTGACCGGTCGCCTCTCCGCCTCTCCCGCAGTGCCCTGGTGACCGGCGGGAGGCGTCTGCTGCGCGGCCCGCGCTGGCCAGCTGCTGCGCTGCATTATGCTGCCGACGGCGGCGGGCCAGGCGGCCCCGTCGGCCGGGTGCGCGGCGCTGCGCTAGCGCGCCGGACCCCTTCGGCCGCGGCACGGGCCGGCCTAGGTGGCGCTGCCGGCCGTAGGTGGCGCTGCCTGCGCTCGGCGACAAAATGGGCAACAGCTTCATTCGCAAAAACTACGAGGAATCTCCGTGGCTGGTGACGCGGCGCACCGGCAATCTGCTCAGGTGAGCGGCGCACGGGGAACTGCTCAGGTGAGCGGCGCACGGGGAACTGCTCAGGTGAGCGGCGCACGGGGAACTGCTCAGGTGAGCGGCGCACTGGGAGCATCACTAACCTGCTCAGGTGAGCGGCGCACGGGGAGCATCACTAACCTGCTCAGGTGAGCGGCGCACGGGGAACTGCTCAGGTGAGCGGCGCACGGGGAACTGCTCAGGTGAGCGGCGCACTGGGAGCATCTAACCTGCTCAGGAGAGCGGTGCACGGGGCGCCGCACGGGGAGCCTCACTAACCTGCTCAGGCTGGCGGTGCACTGAGGCGACACTAGCCCAGGCTGTGTCCGATGGCCTCAGTTCTTCCCGAGTGTCGCATTGCTGTACAGATTGCCGGTAGCGATTTGTTCAACGCTGACCCTTCGAATAATAGGGAGAAAGTTTTCCCCGGCATATGTCAAGTGTCAAAGGATCGCTTATATTTTCCCATCCTGTTGGTATGCAATGATGGTGACTTCGGCGACCGCTATTGAAGAAGCCTGTGATGAGTTTTCATCAGTAGGTAGCGTTGTTAGTCTTGAAAAGTTTTTAGGCGTAGGCCGTAGATAGATAGCGTTTTTACTCCCTTTCATATTTTTTACCGTAATTTACTACGTTATGTATTTCCGTTTGAACATCTCAGCTCCTTGACGATAAGCGTCATTGCCACCACCTCAGACCGAGTCTGATTATCCTGAAAAGCAAAAGGATCAAAATTACATCACACCTATACAGAACATTCCTTGCGTTATCATTTCGGATTTTATGTGCAGCAGATGACCTACATCAAGGCCGCACCCACAAAATGCATGTCGGGTTTTGATCACAGTGTTGATGCTCTGACGTAGGTACAGTCATCTTTTTCCCGTGTACACATTGCATCGCATTAGGCTTTGACAATATTAACGAAATTCGTAGGAAGGAGTTGCATCAAAGTGCCGGAGAAGGTTGAAATAGATATCGTTTCATGAAAATAGTGTCCATATTTTGCATGAAACTTGGCGTATCTGTCAGAACTCAAAAACAATGCCAAACTTTATATGTTCCGATTGTACATAAGCTACCAAAAGTGTCTGGTCATGCATTTCAACATGATATAGGTATTTTTGCGTCGTAATATTTTTAGACAGCCTAGCCCCCAAAGCTATTTTCGTGCAAGCACTTTGGGCGGCGAATCACAACGATTTCGCATTTTTCGGAATACCGACAACAAATTTAGTTCAAGAAACTCGAGTGTCCCGAACTGCGCTGCGCTCAAACGATTAGCGAATGACAAGTATAAGGTGTTCACTAAAAATTGACACAAACTTTGAACAGCTGCACACCAAAAGTGAAACAGGCTATTACGTTGCAATTTAGGATATAGATAAATTGGAATAGGAAAAATGATAGGATAGGACATAGATAAATTGAACAATTATCATCATACAAAATTACAGAGTATCAAATTTCACGAAGTTAATGAAAACAGTTGCGTTGGAAGTCATTTTAGATGAAGACCACCGAAAGACCATTGGCAGGCTTTTCCTAAATAGTACGTCAATGGGAGGGTCTCTTACGTACAAATGCATAATAAAAGATGGGAATGTCGACCTTAGTCGCCTAACGTATGATGGAAATGAAGTACCTACTACTCTACTAGTGGGACTTTATAGTAAGAAAAACCTGAAGTGGTGTAAACGTGAAGATATTGGCCTGAAGAAAGGTCGGGTACCCGAAAATGCACGTGGAGGGCTTTTGGGACCTCACGGTGCAACGCTGTTGATCAGTAAGGAATTAGCTGTGCCTAAGCGGAGAAGATATTTCCACCTGAGGCTGGGATGAGTTACAAACGGCGGAAATGATTTATCGAATCGACCGGGAACTACATAAAGCAATAGAGGCAAATATGCAATGATCAAGAATGGGCCAAAAGTCAAAACGTATCAGAAAAAGCTCGGATTATTCAAGGACAGCGAATCATGCTTAAATGTAACAAATGAGCATCTCATGTGCTTTGTCGAAGGCCATAACGTATGGTGGTGTCTTTAAATGTCACACAAAAGATCAGCTGAAAGCTCGTTACCGTCATAAATTGGCCAAAGGCACGGCCCAACCGTGCCAGAGCCTTTGACGACGCTTCCCAACAAACGTCCAAAAAAAAGGACCGATAGCATCACACAAATCTGTTAACGCTCTACAGCTTGCAGCTGATACAATGCGCAGTGGAATGATACCTCGTTTGTTTGAATCGATACATTTTTACCGAGGGTACCTACAGCCCGCTAAACTTTGTCTCAATTTTTAGTGAACACATATTATAACAAAACTTAATAACTGTCGCTTATGATATAAGAGCAAGTAAATGCGCATTACGATCACCATTCATTTTGAGCAGTTGGTGCATATCCGTCTGAATGTAGTGTGCATTATGTGTCTCTGAATGTATCTCTTAGGCTGGAGACTTCCACACGCGGGTAATTCGCGTGTAAGTGGTTTGCGGGTAAGTTGGCGTTTATCTCGCGTTTAAGTCGGCGGGTAACTTTGCCCGGAGACTTCCATCTGCGGGTAAATAGTTTGTTCGCTAAGTTAGCGAACGAACTTACACGCGAGCCACCCCATGTATTAAGTTCGCGGGTATCTTTTCGGTGGTGCTTTTTTTGGTCCTTAGGTGGTTTTGAAAGTTTATTTCTGTGCAAATTTTATGTGCAAGTGATAGACAATAGTGCAATCATCTAGTTCTGGCTTTTTCAGCCAGTTCGGCCTAGCCGTTCGGCTGCTAAGATTAGACGAATTTGAGGTCACCTTTTCATAGTACTGAGGCCAGTTTTACCAACAGAAAAATAGCCGCCTGGCGGAATTTTTCGCCTAAAGGCCGATTCACATACGGATCGAGTGCGGTAAAGCTCTATCCGCTTACGTGCGTATCGCGTTTACACTCCATGTTTGAAACGGTCTTTAGACAAAAAAATTCCGCCAGGCGGCTATTTTTCTGTTGGTAAAACTGGCCTCTGTACTTGTTGAGGGGTTACAAATTACACATTTCATCACTGTAAGTATCCAGATGTTTTCGATAAGTCATACATGCAGTAATGAGAGCAATATTTGAGCTGACAGAATTGAGGATGTAGGACTCAAATTTTCAAATACGGAGGTATTAGTCTATTTCCCTCGCACCTATCTCCTTGCCACCAGCTGCTATTTCGTAATCTTCGGGATAGTGAGATGGGATTCGTATTGCATCCGAAATAATGTGATCGTCGAGCCAGCCGGCTAGTGTCGGGCCCCGGTCGTCGCACTTCGCGTTACGTGTCAGTGGGGCGAGGACCAGCTCAGTGGAAGCAATACGAGTGTCCGGTCAACAACCATGGACAGGAAGAAGAGGAGCAGAAATTCCAGTAGCAGAGACATGCATTTGTTAGCCGATGTCATGAAGACTGAAGTAAAAGTCATCGAAAATAAGCGACACGATGGAAGGAGTAATGAAGAACGAAAAAGGTCTTGGAAGAACATTGCTACAGCCTGTAATGCAAGGTCAGAAGAAAAATGGGACTAGAAACAGCTGACACAGCTCTGGAGAGATATGAAAAGGACGGCCAAAAAGGACCATTAGCGGTTTAAACGGCAGCAAATGGGCACTGGTGGTGGACCGGATCATGCGCCGTTGGAACGTCAGCCACCCCTGGGACACGCACATATTAAACTGATCACTCGGTGATAATCGTCCTTTGTGTGGCATTGAATTGGACACCGACGACGCCTCACCGGTGAAGTGACTGGTCGGGGATGGGGACGGGGGGGGGGGGGGGTGACGGAGACGAACCGACGAGGGCAGACGAGTAATCTGAGATACGGCTGTTATAAGATCATGCAGTAGACTAGCGGTCGGCCATACAGAGTGAAATAACACAAGGCGAGTAGCATTATTGATGCTGATTGGCACGGCTTCAAACGCTGTTCTGGTTAGGTTAATGCATCACCACATCCCATTGTTACGGCTGTACTCATTGCATGTGTAAAAACGCTGATTGGGGGTCACCGGTCCCATAGATAACGGAATTACGCACTTGTTCATTGGACCAGCTGATCGTCGCATCCCAATCAGCTGATCGGGAAGCCCTTTAAACTGGCGTGTAAGTCGGCATTTAAATATTTACACGCGTGTAGCTACCCACCAGTTAACCGCGGATGGAAGTCTCCGGGTAAAAGTTGGTGGGCAGCTACACGCGTGTAAGGAAGTTAGACACCAAAATAAACGCGAGTTAACCGCAAACTGGAAGTCTCCAGCCTTAATCAACTATCAAGTATCTGGGATTGGGACAACTGACTTCAAACATTAATTTGAAATATAAGTGTAAGTCAGGAGAACGCGTCGTTTCTGTAGTCCTCATTGGCCAACTGTTTCAGGCTCTGGATCAAATTGTTTCACTTCTAGTTACAGGCTATTGTCGAATGTGTTTCACTTCTCTCTGTTTCAGGCTATGCGTGGAGGTGTTTCACGTTTCACTCTTTGAGGCTCTGGGCGGAGCTGTTTCACTTCTCACTGCTGTAGGCTCTGGACAGGGCTGTTTCACGTCTCTCTGTTTCAGGCTATGCGTGGAGGTGTTTCACGTATAGCTGTTGCTGTAGGTGGATGTGTTTCACGTCTCTCTGTTTGGGGCGGAGGTGTTTCACGTCTCTCTGTTTCAGGCTCTGGGCGGAGGTGTTTCACGTCTCTCTCTGTGTTTCAGTCTGTGGGCGGATGTGTTTCACGTCTCTCTGTTTCAGGCTCTGGGCGGAGGTGTTTCACGTCTCTCTCTGTGTTTCAGTCTGTGGGCGGATGTGTTTCACGTCTCTGTGTTTCAGGCTCTGGGCGGAGGTGTTTCACGTCTCGTCGACCGGCTCCGGGACGGTGAAATGGCAGCAGATCTCCGACGACCTGGTGCCCGTCAGCCTGACGTGCATCCAGGACTCGCCCAGCTACGTGTTCCACATCACCGCCTACAACTCGCAGGTGGACAAGATCCTCGACGTGCGCCTCACCCAGCCCGGTAAGCCACGCCGTGCCCTCTCCCCGGCCAGCACTGGTTGCGGGTGAGCGAATACTCCCCCATCTCCCAGCCAGTGCCTCTCTCCTTCCCCCTACCAGCTTCTGGCGCTCCTTAGGTATATCATATGTTTCATATAATATGTATATATCAAATGTATATAAAATCAAATGTGTTTTAGGTACTTGTTTCCTTAAGTCATGTTTTGGATTGAAACATAGCTTGACTTGAGCAAGTAACAAGTAGTTAAAAGGCAGAATTGACTTGAGGCAGAATAACACTCTGTTCTATTTGTATCGAAACAAACGTAGTTTTCCGCGGCCAAAATCTTGTTTTCCGATTTATTTATCGCATTTTATTTAGATATCACAACTTAGGGCTTGGAATAATGCTTATTATTCGCCGAGGACAGAACCTGTGTGTGGCTGGTCACTAACGCAGTACTTCCAAACTTGTTTTCATCTTTTCTTTATTATATCTTAAAGGGACACTCCCACCTTAACATTAGTTTTGAGATGAGATAGCCAAATTGGTGGCCATGGCCTGCAAATACCGGTTTGGGCACTCACAACATCGACAAATGCTTTAATTCGGAGATATGGAATTTCAAACTTGCAGTTTTCGGATTCTAAGGGGCTAGTGCATTGGTATGCCCCCTTAGAATTTGTGACGTCAGCGGAGATCTAACGATTTTTAAATCTTTTACTAAAACGTTTGGTAGCACGCGGTGGTATATGCTGCTTTGCGCGCAACAAATGCCGCACTTTCAAATAAAGTCGCTAGGAACAGCGGAGATCCCAAAAAGTAAACAAAAGTAAAAGTCTAATATCTTGAAAACCGGTGAATATTTTTCGATGAAATTTGGTAGATATTCGTTTTCACTCTTCACTGAACCGAGCGACATCACTTTCGTGCCAATTCATTAACTTTTTTGAAGGTGGGAGGGTCCCTTTAAAATTCAAAAGCATTTCTTTCATACATAATGTATTGCCCAGCTGAGCTTTTACCACCTTCCTGAGAACTGATGCCTACTGTTGGGCAAGTCAGAGCGGGCTGTGCCGTTTGCTGCGAGTGTGTGCCGTTTGTGTGTCACTCCGGACGGACGACCCGCTGGCTCGCAGGCACGCGGATCGGCCAGGCGTCCGAGTGTTTCGTTTACTGGAAGGACCCGGCCACCGGAGACACGTGGGGCCTCAACTTTACCTCGCCCATGGACGCGCGGCAGTTCCGCGAGGTCTGCGTGAGTATCTCTGACTGACTGCCCGTCTGCGTGCGCGTATGCGAGTGAGGTATGCGCGTATGCCGTATACGACGGTCGGGGGCGGGGGCGGGGGAGACACCGGGAATCGAACCCGGGTCCTCCTGACCAACGAACTGCGCCTGCCGTCTGCCTCGCCCGCTCATCCACTCGTGTTTGTTCTGTCTCTCCATCTGCCGTCTCTTCATTCGCTGCCTGATCTCATGCTGATGTCTACCTAATGCCTGTCTGGTGATCTCAGATTATATGGCATGGTATGTAATTATCATTTCAATAATAGAAGTCATTTCAGTGAGAAGGATTTAACGAGTGCAAGAACTAAGGCCTATTACGTAGCACTGTTGGCACTCTGTGCACTGGGCCCCCTGGCCACTCGCGGTGTCGCTGGTGCAGGCTATCTGAATCTCTATCCCGCCTCTTACAGAGTCCATCGTTTAAATTCTCGCGGAAAACCTCATCGTCCTACTCATTGAAGCTGGACGGCAAGAAGCAGAAGGGCAACAAGCGGAAGCCGCTGTCGACGCCGTCGTCGCCGTCGGGCGGCGGCAGAGAGCCCCAGTGCACCTGTATGACGGCCGAACAGTACGCCCGGCTGCGTGCGCAGGACCCGCGCTTCAGAGGTAGGTCGGCCAGCCGCGGCACATCAGTCGGCGAGGTCTGTCCCCGGCTTACCTCCGCACCGGCTCAGGGTGCCGCCGGGAGGTCATATAGTTGGTCCCCCTCAGTCACCCCTGCACTGGTGCAGCGGCACAGACGCGGGATCCCCACTCATGCAGCTTTATCCTGGTATTACTCGACCTTGGTACATCCAAATATCTGCCAAGTGCCATCCATCAGAACTGATGCTCCGCCAAACAGCCCTGCAGGTCGCTCCGACGCTGCGCGCCGGTCGCTAGTAAGAATGTCTATGTATATTTGGAGAATGTGGAAGACCATGAACCATCCTTGTGTTTCCGCTAACTCGAGTTGGAGATTGAAAAACGAATGGCTGGTGGTACACAGACCCCAGTTTTCGCTCGCCACCCGGATATATCAGGATCACGTGGTGTGACAAGAACATCTTTTTAGCCTCTGTGTAATATTATTCTCTGGGGAAGGTGGCCAGTGACTGTGCCGGCCGTCGGTTATAAGCAAGCTATCCAATGCATCTCGGAGTTTTCCTTAGAGGCGCTGCTCGGTGTGGGAAGGAGCAGCCGTCTCGGATGGATTGTCCCCGGTAGCCGCCCTGTGCCCGTGTCGAGGGCCATCCCGCAGAGAGCCGCGTCTCGTGCCACGCTGTCGTCCGGTGCCTCTCCTCTGTGCGGCAGGTGCTAACAGAATATCCACTGGAGACGGGTCGTAACTGAGCCCACTCTCGGCTGACGCCCCTCGGCCTTACTATAAACA